AAGTGAAATATGCATGCCAATAAAGAATGACGTTTACCCGGACGGCTTTAATTACAACCGTGGTTCATGTAAAGTGAATCGTAACAGTGTTATCTATTTATAGAATGATACTTGTATGTGTGTTTATTTTAGTAAATGACTATAAATAGATGCTGCTGTAAATGTTTTTAATAAATATTTCATTAATTTATTTTTTAAATTGAATTCATCCCATTATAAACATATATAAATATATTTTGAACATTGTTCAACAAGTTTGGTGTGATTGCCCAATCGAACTCAACCAATTTCTATATGCATGAATATAGATTAACACAGCGTACCGTTGATACTATTAAACACTGGGATAATAATTCTGAATATGAAACATGTGAAATATTCGACGACGGATGTACTAACAAACAATTATATTGACGCATTTATCATTCGACCGTTGTAAGCTAGGAAAACCTTTAGGCATTTGATCAACGTAATAATAGTTCAACCTCGGTTGACTCGAACTACCGATCTCTCGAACAAATTTTCACAGGCCCTCCGAGTTCGAGCGAACGAAGTTCGACTGTATATAAAACTGTAAAAATCATTAAAGTTTCTGGAAAGTCATGTTCCTTAGAACCAGGTGCTAACTTTTGTCTGAAGTAATGTATTGAGGGGCACCTGAGTTCAGTCTCAACCATTAAGTCTTTAAAGTCTCCATTTGACCTTCACACTGTTAGTTTGGCTCCAAATAAATTTAGTCTGAAGGGCAAATCTTCATAACATCCTAATTAAGTTTGTTGAAAATGTGCAGATTTGGTCAAGGGCATTATGCATTTTATGAAATCAGTTGATTTGTTTTATATATTGTATAATTATGTAATTTCTTACAATATTATTATTGGAAATATTTACTTGATTTTCTTCATATTTTGATAGTAGTCATACAAACAATTTGTCTGTATACTAACTTTTTTTTTCTCAGCCCATTAAATAATCTAGCTACCAAAACTATTTTCTTTCTTTATAGATTATCATATAAAACATTTATTGTGTGTATTCTTTTAGATATTTGTGCTATATATATTTATCACTGTTGGTCTTCATTAATGTTGATCTATATTAATTTACATTTTCTTCAACCATTTCTTTAGCCTCCTATTTTAATACTTTAATGTTAAAAAATGGTTATAAAAATGTCAAATTCTCATTGCCCACTTCCAACCATTTTGAGTCAGTCTGATTCAGGAAAGTGGCACAGAAAGAAACCATGCTTCTAACAATAAGCCGCGTTAATGTGCACTTAAAATAATCTTTGATCAGGAAAGCCATGCTTATATAATAAACCTTATTGCCACAGTTATAGAGCCAGGGCTTATTGCCACTGCTATATAGCCAGGGCTTATTGCCACTGTTATATAGCCAGGGCTTATTGCCACTGTTATATAGCCAGGGCTTATTGCCACTGTTATAGAGCCAGGGCTTATTGCCACTGTTATATAGCCAGGGCTTATTGCCACTGTTATAGAGCCAGGGCTTATTGCCACTGTTATAGAGCCAGGGCTTATTGCCACTTTTATAGAGCCAGGGCTTATTGCCACTGTTATATAGCCAGGGCTTATTGCCACTTTTATAGAGCCGGCTTATTGCCACTGTTATATAGCCAGGGGCTTATTGCCACTGTTATAGAGCCAGGGGCTTATTGCCACTGTTATAGAGCCAGGGCTTATTGCCACTTTTATAGAGCCAGGGCTTATTGCCACTGTTATATAGCTAGGGCTTAATTGCCACTGTTATATAGCCAGGGCTTATTGCCTTTGTTAAAGAGGCCTTTTAATGGCCACCAGTTTAGAGCCATAGCTAATTCCCAGTCACCATATAGAGCCAGGCCCAATTGCCACATGTAGTATTGTGGCACTAGTATAGAACTAGGCATTAATGCCACTCAATGATCACTGCCAGTTTTATAAGTCAGTATTTAATGGCAACCAGTAAAGAGTCAGACCTAATTATAGCAATATAGAGTAAGGTCTTAATAGTCATTTATGACTTTGAACAACAGTTTATGTGTATTATTTCTTGAATTTATGAAAAAATTTATTTTCATGTTGTAAAACATTAAGTTTTAGAGTTATAATTTCAACAGCTGCAAATCAATGTAGAATTATTTGCATGTGTATAATGATTGTGTGACGGCGTGGTCGAGTGGTTAACACGTCGGACTAGTAATCTGAGGACTGCTGACGGCGTGGGTTCAAACCAGGTGTCGAGGGGCAAGCCATTGTTTCCTTGAGCAAGGGTTCGAATCCCGACAGGGACTTTGGATTCTTTCATGTGAGGAAGCTATTCAGCTAGCTTACGGAACGTCGGTGGTTCTACTCAGGTGTCCGTTCGTGCCTGAAATAATGCACGGAGGGGCACCTGAGGTCTTCCTCCACCAGTAAAGCTGGAACGTCGCGATATGACCTATACTGTGTCGATGTGACGTAAAACCCAAAACAAAAAAGAAACTTTACATTCATTGCTTAGTACTGGTTGGTTCCAGGAACGGATTTGAGAGTGTTTCAATAAGCTTATAGCTTCCAACACAATCGAACTAAAATAAATTTGTATAAACTAAGATTATTTTGGATAAATTGGAATAATAACTTGCCTACTGCTTAAGGAGCTGTCCTCATTCATTCCTGGGGTTTGAGCTTTGATTAGGTCTTGACCTTGTTTTACCTTATGTTGGTATTACCTTACTGTAATGGTGGTAGGAGATTTATTTTACATAAAATAAGCTTATTTCTGAGTGTGCAATATATCAAAATATAAGAAAACGTCCACCTGTTGAAGCCCTTATGGTTGAGGGTTGTTATTGGAGTAAAAGCAAGAGCCAAGCTGATGTGAACATAGCATTGACAAATGACTAAGACTTGCACTGATCAACACCAATATCAATATTGTCTTAAAAGATGTTTAAAGGTACAAGTACATAAATTCAGGTTCTCTTTAACAGTCACATGGCTGGTATAGCACTTATTACTTTCACTTTTTGTTTTCTTTACTATGCGGCCTGTGCAGCTCAGCATTTGTCAATGCTTTGAATACATGCGAAGCCAGAAATAAATGTTATTTTTAAAATCATAAGAAAACGGATATAGAGTTTTATTTAAAAAAGTAGATAATTCTGCATGAAATTTTCTTCTTTTAAGTCTTAAATTGCTGGAACAGAAAGTTATCAGTATAGAGTCAGGCCAGCCTGCACATCCTTGTAGTCTGACCATGCCCTATACTGTATTGATTGATTAGGGGCATCAGTGGCCTAGTGGTTTAAGTTGTTGATTTCAAACCACTTGCTCCTAACTGCTGTGGGTTCGAATTCTGACAGGGTCTTTGAACCTTTTTATGTGAAGAAGCTTTCGTCCAGCTAGCTTATGGATTGTCAGTGGTTCTACTCGGGTGCCTGTTCGTACCTGAAGTATTGCACAGAAGGGCTTTTGAGGTCTTCCTCCACCAGTAATGCTGGAAAGTCTCCATTTGACCTTTACCATGTGGGTGCAACATAAAACCCAACGCCCAAAAAAAATGATTGATTAAATTTTTGGTCATCCTAAAAACTGATATTAGCCAATTCCTAAAATTTGATCTGGACAAGTCCATTTTAGTAATTCAGAAGATGTAAAAATATACAAAAATTCAAGTAGCTTTAATATTATGATTTATGCTGAGGTTACAAATCTTCATAGCATCTTTAATCTCTTCTTATGCTCGCAGCAGACGTAAAAATTTCTCATGTCATACTCCTAAATATTAACCAATATGGGCACTTGACAGGAGAAACAAATCTGCAAATATCATTTCTCTATTTTTAGACATTTCATTTCATTGTTGCTGACCACAGTGATGGCTTTGAATTTGTATAAGAACTTTTTTCATCATTTGATCTTATGATAGAAGATGTTTGCACATTAAAAGAATTCTCAGTTCTTTCTAACCCTTGATCTGTTGAGAAGGAAATGGATTAGCCTTTGCCACGAGTATTGAGCCGGGTCAGTCTGAACATCCTTTTGAGTCTGATCAGGTTATATACTAAATTTTTATATTTTTGCATTGAAATCCCTTAGAATTTGAATGGACTTTAACAAACTCAAAGCAGGGCAAATCCATTACCCAAATACGGCATATTAATGGTTATCCAATGACTTGCTGAAATTAATGAGTATAGAAATATTTTTATATGTTTTCTTCAGTCAGATGACGTTTACCTTGAGGTTCAGATACAAAACATTACTCCTGGACCAGTCTACATGGAACATGTCAGACTGGACCCTTCAAATCTGTACAAATCTGAGGAACTGAATTCATTGGAGAAGAAACAAGGGTAAGTTGAATACTAATGAACCAGTCTGGAAGTTACTCAGACTGGATTTGTAAAGTTTGTGTCTGCCTTTGGACTAAATTCTTTTGGTGAGGTGAATATTTGAACCAGTCTGTGGCAGACTTGTAAGACTGGATTTGTTCAATCTGTAATGTTAGAATGGATATAATCTGGTAATGTTACATGGTGTATAATCTGGTAATGTTACATGGTGTATAATCTGGTAATGTTACATGGTGTATAATCTGGTTATGTTACATAGTGTATAATCTGGTTATGTTACATAGTGTATAATCTGGTAATGTTATAATGGGTTATGATCTGGAAATGATAGATTGGCGTATATTCTGGTTATGTTACATGGCGTATAATCTGGTTATGTTACATAGTGTATAATCTGGTAATGTTATAATGGGTTATAATCTGGTAATTTTACATAAAATATAACCTGATAATGTTACATGGGATGTAATCTGGTAATGTTACAGTCATTATAATCTTGTAATGTTACATTAGATACAATCTGGTAATGTTAATTAGATATAATCTGGTAATGTCATTAGATATAATCTGGTAATGTTACATTAGATACAATCTGGTAATGTTACATTAGATACAATCTGGTAATGTTACATTAGATATAATCTGGTAATGTTACATTGAATATAATCCAGTAATATATACATTCAGTAAAATCAGGCAATGTAGGCAGTGTTTATTCACACCAATACAATATTTTATGAACACTTCTGGTCACAGATTGCCTGTGGGATTTTCTTGAGGCAAATATAATAAACACATGGTGAATAAGACAAATAAAAACAATGATCTAAGACTTAAAAATGTGTTTATACCAGTCTTATAAAAATATTTGTCTTTTTTATCTGTGTATGAAAAATTGTCCATTGAGATTTCAGAGAAAATAAAGGTTTTCTATTGTTTGCTTGGTTGTCAGTTCGTTGTATATGTAAAACTGAATAACACTTAGTTCACTATACTTTATTGAAGACTCCAGCACCTATGGAATATATATAACACAACATTAAACAAAGGTTACAACAGTGATACAATACTTAACAGATTCCCCTGTCTTTCTAAAACAATAAAAGATACAATAGTACAAAGGAACAAAAGGATATAATAAAAAGCTATTTAAGTAAAATGAAAAGAAAATATTTCAGAGCAAACAGTTATTTGTAAAACAATAGAAATGAAATAAATGTCAAATGAACAACACATTATTTCACAGGTGATTAAGTCAGTTCACAAATCAGTATAATAGAAATGTTACTTAATTAACTAAAACAAACTGTAATTAAACAATAATTTGTCTGCAAAAACAAACAAGTTCTCATGTATTCAAACTTCAAATATCACTGAAGTAAATGTTCACATATAATTCCATAATCATCTTATAACACAACTCCAGTTTTCAAGATGTCAATCAAACGGTGGAAGTCGGCTCCAGTCTTGGTCAAGCAATCTGCAATCTGACTGCTGGTGTGGACCCAGGTCACGGTAATGTCACCCGTGCAGACACTCTCCTTGATGCTTGCCAAGTCCATACGGAGACGTTTCTCAGAAAGAAGTTTTGTTGAGTGAATGTTCTGACATAGGGATTTGTTATCAGTAAAACATTTAATGGGAATGTCTTTTACTCTGAACATTTCTTGAAGCATACTTCTAACAAAATAACATGCATCAAGTCCCTCTACCAGTGATAGGGCTTCAGCTGCAAGTGTACTCTTCACAACTCGCTTTATCTTCTTTGCACTCCAAGCTATTGGACATAACTTCCCATTCTTCCCTTTTAAGAAGATAAGATAACCTCCAGCGCTAGAAAATCTATCTGAAAGGTTGGCATAGGAGGCATCTGTGTAGAGTATAAGTTCAAAGTCCTCAATGCTCCCTAAACTTGAAAACACAATCTTGTACTGATTGCACAAGGCTTTTCTTACCACTTTGTTGATTTTTGACCGGAGTTTGGGATCACCCAAATCACAATACGTTGCTAGATCTAGGACAACAAACGAAAGATCTGGTCTACTCTGTGTGGCTATCCAGTGAAGCTGACCAACAATTTCTGGATAGATGTTGTTCTTGACATCATTGGGATTGATATCACGGTCAACTTGCTTTATTTCTTCTGTGTAATCCTTTTGGCTCAGGTATATCTGTCCATCAGTTTGCTCAATGTCAAGTCCAATATACCGAAAACTGCAGTCTAACTCTTTTCCACAATGAAACTTCATCCGTAGTGGAAGAATTACATCTTGCTTGAACCTGTCACTACCAGCCCATAGGAAGTCATCTACATGCATCAAGAACAGTCCATCAAGTTTATCGCTTTGATGCCAGTAGAAGAGAGCTGGGTCTAACTTTGATTCTTCACAATGTAAGAGTTGGAGCTCTTTCTTCACACTGAGAAACCAGTTTCTCGATGCATCTACAAGCCCATTAAACACTTGTTCAGCTTCCACACAACAGAAGTATCTGATTCACATTCTTTTGGAGGTTGAACATAAATAACTCTGTCTATGACCTGACCTTGTAAAAAGGCCGCTTTGATATCAATTGAGTGTATGTCATTGCCTAGTGTAGCTGAAGCTGCAAGGAACAATCTAAGGCTCTCCTTGTGAACAGTCGGGGAGTCAGACTGCACAGGTGTTTCCTCTTCAAATCCATGAACAACCAATCTTGCTTTCACTGTGCGTTCATCTCCTGATTCCTTCTCAGTAATCACCCATCTAGTGGACATTAATTTTTGTCCACAATATGGAACCCTTTCAAAAACATTGAACTGTTGCCAATTGTCTAGTTCTTTTTTCATGGCACATAGCACTTCATCTTCACTGTGTCTAGCACTTGGAACAAAGACTGAATGCACTTCTTTAGTATTTTCACTTAAATGCCAGTTTTGAACATCTTTCTTAAAGTCTATACCAGATGGTGAATCCTTGTTTTCTTCCTGTACATTCAAGTATGCCCAATTCTTCCCAGTTGCTTTTCCACCACGACTGAGCACTTTGGCTTTTACCCACCTAGGATCACCAGGCAATTGGAATTCTATTTTGTCACCTACATTTGGAATTCTCTTCTTTTGTTGTATGATGTCATGTCTTTCTTCAACTGGCAAATTTGGTTCAACTGGGACTATGTCCTCATTATTTGGTTGTTGACTCTCATCTTGATCTACCTGCAAGTCTATGTCCTCATTTCTGGGTTGTTGTCTATCATCTTCTTCTGCCAGCAAATCTTGCGTATTTTCGTCATCATTATTAAGACTGTTATATTGCTTCTCATTTTGTTGTTGAGGCTTACCATTTTCATTTTGTGATTCTTGATTCATTTCAACTTGACCCTCTAATCCACATCTTATTAAACGACAAGGATGTACTCTGACATATACACTTCCATGTCGAACGAAGACAACTTTGCCATCCTGACCTATAACTGTTCCTGGCCCCTTCCATTTGTTGTCATCATCACGCTTGTAGTACACCCGGTCTCCATGCTGATAGCATTCTCCAGATGCCCTGATTTTGTGCCTCAGTGCCCTTCGGATTCTCTCAGAGGATTCGGCTTGAATGAATGCACGTCTTCCTGAGTGAAGTGCATTTAAATGTTCGGCAAACTTTCGGCTAATGGTAGTATTCTCAAGTGCTGGTGGCTTATTTGTAAGAACTGAAGGCAAATTTGGATTAGCACCAAAGACAAGTTGATATGGACTCCAACCATACACCATTGACAGACTATTCTTTGCATTCACAGCCCACAACAAGGCAATTTCCAAGTTCAAGTTAGGTTGATCTTCTAGAATCTTTTCTACACAGTTATCAACAACAGCATGATTTCTTTCACATATTCCATTCTGCCATGGACTGTACGCAGCTGTGTTCAAGACTTCAATGTTCACGTTTTCACACATGTCTCGAAAGATTTCATTAGCAAACTCACCACCATTGTCTGCTAGGAATTTCTTTGGTGGACCCATACCACTGCCAATCCACAATTTCATGATTTTCTCTGTGATAACCTCTGGTGTCTTCTTCCTTATAACAGCTGCAAGACTGAATCTTGTTGCTATATCAATGAGATGCAGAAAATATACATTAGGCTTCCATTCTTTCAAGTCAACTGCAACTACTTCATTAAATTCTGTTGCTAGTGGAAGGGAGACAACTGGTCGTGCTGGAGTCTTCTTGTACTGTTTACACAACTCACAATTCTCACTCACTTTATCAACATATGCCATATGTTCATCTGTATACACCCCAGCATCCTGCAAAAGGGATTTCAAACGCTTTGCTGAAGGATGCGCAAACTGTTTGTGTAACTTGCGTATGACATCACTCAACTCTGTTTCCTTTGAAGCTACTAACGCTAACTTTGTCTCTTCAACACTCACATTAATCTGATTTATAGGCACACAGTAGTGACCAGAAGATGTACTCTGAAGCTGTACATCGTTTCCAAATATAGAAGCACAGTCATTTTCAAGGTCAAGTTTTACTTTGGCTTTCTTCATAGAGTCTTTACTGAGTAGCAGAGGAATATCACTACTTACAACATCAGTCTGTATTTCACATTCTGTACCAGCAATGACACAGGGAAACTTGACAATTTTCTTAGATTGAAGAACTGTCCCACCACCAAATTTAAACTTTGTTTCACTCGGCATTTCAAGTACTTTTTCCCGGACAGAAGGATCAAGTGAGTCTAGGTAACAGTTCATCCAAGCTTCACCAGCAACAGTTGCTGTACAAGCACTATCCAGAACAGCTGAGTTTGACGCTTCAGCAAGAAGAATAAGTGCCTCTTGTTGCCTGTTCCCAGTGAACAACACTGCATTTTCAACACTACTCTTTGACAAGTTTTCATAAGAATGAGGGCATTGTTTTACCAAATGCCTAATGGAGTCGCAGCTTAGGCATCGAAGTGGCTGACCATCTGGTCCATTTGGATTTACAGGCTTGCTTGTGTTAGATCCTCTTACTTTGTCTCCATAGCTGTTTCTGCCCCATGTGTCATCTGATCTGTAGTTTGTGAATCCCCTGCCACTAGAATAACCACGTCCACGAATATTGCCACGATTTCTGTATCCAAAGTTTTTCCCACCTCGATTCCTGGTGTAGTTTGCCTCTTCTGTAGAGATACATGCAGACTCCACTTTGATTCCTGAGACACTGTCCATCTCATGGCCTGACGCAGCTTGATTCCCAAAAAACTTTTTGAGAGAAGTTGACATCTGTTTGAATAAGTCATCAACACTAGCATAGTTTACACCTGTCAACACAAGTTGTCTGTCCTTCATTTCTAGCTCAGAACACTCAAGAAGTTTGAACGCTAACACAGGCTGAGGCAGTTCCATGTGAAATTTCTTAGTCTTATTGTAAAGTTTCTCAAATTCAGTCACATAATCTTCCATTGATGACACTTTACTTCGTCGGAAACGATCAAATTCAGTGTACGCTTCATATGCTTCACTTAGTTCATCTTTTTTGAAGATTTTGTCCATGAATGCAATGAGTTTGCCTACACCATCATCTGCATTCAACACATCAACTGTCAGTTCACTAAACACTTTGTCCCTGATAGAGTTTTGCCCTTCTTCGGGCAATGATAACGCTATAGCTATTCCCCTCTTTTTAGCTTCAAGGTCAGTCAGCACTTCCCACGCTTTCACTTCATCAACCCATCGACTGTAAGGTTTATTCGCTGTGAATACTGGAGGAACTTTGTAACTAACAGACGCCATTTTTTTTTTTTTTTTTTTTTTTTGTTTTTTTGACACTGAGTTCAATACACTAAAATACGCTAGTCACTACGCTAATAATAATAATTAGTTACCGCACACTTCAACACACACTACACTTGTCATAAGATATATCACTGTCACATTAGTCACTGGGTGGATTAATACAGGATCTTCATAGATGCTGTTTCAAGTGCACGCTCTGCTTCCATGTAAAACTGAATAACACTTAGAGTTCACTATACTTTATTGAAGACTCCAGCACCTATGGAATATATATAACACAACATTAAACAAAGGTTACAACAGTGATACAATACTTAACAGTATATAAAAGAAATATTGTTGGGTATCAGAAATCTCGGTATAATGATAGTTCTGATAGTGCAGTCATCATTTTATAATATTTCAGGGCAGAAAAATAAACTGTATGAAAGAATTTCTTTCTTTTAAAGGCCCAGTAAGCTCAAGAAATGCCTTTATTTTCATTTTTTAAAGGCTTTAATTTTTTGTGTGATATATAGTTTCCAAAATCAATCCTCATTGCCCATTAACTTAAATTATGTTTTGCTTCTGTTGCTTTTTAGCAATTAGTGAAGTTATATACATTGAGGTTTAGTATTTTGTATGGCAGTCAAAATACTCTTCTTTGTTTACATTTTGCTACTTTAATGACAAATAGTTCCATAATCAGCACTACTTTCTTCAGATGACAAATACCTTTAAATGCTCCAATACCATTATAAACTTTATAAAACTTATGTTTACTTTCTTTAAAAACAGGAAAAAATAAATTGTTTATGAGGCGTAATTGTGTCTTTAAAGGGATCAAAATTTAGATTTAATTCCATATATAAATAACTATAAAATATAAATAAGTCTATGCATCTCGAGCAGATGAGGTGGTTTTGATCCCAGGTGTTGCTTTTTAAGTTTGTAATTTACATTTGAGGTTAACCAAAATCAACTTTCCTGTTTGGCACAATATGACCTAAATTGTGTTTGTCCCACGAAAATCAAACCATCATTGAAGTCTGTTGATATTATTATAAGTTTGCTCTTACCTCCTAAAAGTCTGTTATTAATTTGATGGCTTTTTTTTTATAGTTTCTGTAAAATTATTTATCTGATATGACCATTTTGCACCTAAAATCAATTTGTCTAACATAAACAAACAACAGCCTGTAAATTAAATACTGCCCTCATAATAAACCTTGAAATGTTGCACTGGATTCACTGTTATTAACATTTCTAATCATAGTTTGTAATTAGTGAGAAAATGGAAACGGATGTATGTATGATGTCACCATATAGCAACAACAATGTGCATGCGAAGACATGCAATTTGATTTATGGATTTCGCTAACAGGATGTTGTGTAAAGTTTACAAATTAGATTTCTATCATTAATGTGCAATTTCCTTACAATACAGTGCAAGCAATCAGTGCAGGTAAAAAAGTTATATGGCATAAGTGCAAGTAATCAGTGATAAAAAAACATTCAAGATATCAGTGCAAGTAGTTGTCACAAGTAGTTAGTTTAAGTAATCAGTGCTAGTAAACTAGTCAAGGTGTCAGTGCAAGCAGTTAGTGTAAGTAGTAAGTCTAAGTAGTTAGTGCTGTGTCTGTGCAAGCAGTTAGTGTAATACATTAATGCACAAGCAATCAGTTCAAAAGCAAGCTGTGCTGATAATTAGTGCAAGCAAGCAATCAATGAAAACAATAAGGACAAGTAATCAGTACAAGCAATTAGTGCAGTACCACTGTGACTAAAGTGCATTCTGTGCTACTATTTATCAGACATGAAATCTGCCTCTAATGATTTTCATTTAATTTAACTGAAAATGTCTTGGACCAGAACAGGTCAAGTCAATGACTCAAAATTAGACAATAAGCTCACCGGTATACATTGTTTATTTAGAGCCACAAATATCATTTTGTAAGATGTAAAAAAACAGTTTGTTCCATCTCTGACAGTCATCGAATTTAGAACTGGCCTGGTGGCCCATGGCCGGTGTAAATTAGTTCGGGTCTGTGTAAATTTTAAGTAAAATTTAGTTAAATATATAATAGAATAAATTCAAAAATAGAATTTGGGCAAGGAAATTCAAAATCTTAAATTCATTGACTGTCTGAATAATCTTTTTAATTTTGCTGTTTTTACAGACCAGGCAATGTATTTGGAAAAGTTGACTATTTAAACCCTATGGACACACGGCAGTATTTGTATTGTCTGGCACCCAAACCAGAGATGTATCAAGAGAATAAGGTGCTAAAAGGGGTCACCAACATTGGTAAATTAGACATTGTGTGGAAAACGAACCTGGGAGAGAAAGGGAGATTACAAACTAGTCAGCTTCTTAGAGTGGTTAGTAGGATTTACTTCCCTTAGATATTCTGTGAATACTAACAACTACATTGTATTTGTTATTGCATTGGTAAATTTGCTGGTTGCAGAATGGATTTGAATAAGTAAAATATTGTCAGAATTCACAATATTTCCACAGAAAACTTCATCTGTTCTCTTTTATACTTGTATGCATTTTTTCTCACAGTTTTAGCAACATTTAGTTTTTTTAAATGTTTAATGTCTATTTGTTTCTAATCTATGAAACTCCAGTCCAGGTCCATTGGTTTAAAAAAATAGAAAGCCAAATGTTTTACTATATAGAAATAATACTTTTTAAGCTGAACTTTTTAAATTATGCAATGATTTGATACTTTGTTGTTGGGTAACAGAAATATTGGATTAATGTTAGTTCTGATAGTGCATCGTACTGCAGTACATGTACATATCATGTATATCATGTTAATATATATCATGTTAACTATTCATACTTATTTCAGGCCCCGGAGTATGGGAATATTATGTTAACTATTGTAACTTATTTCAGGCCCGGGGGTTATTGGAATACCATGTTTACTATTGTAACTTATTTCAGGCCCCGGGGTATTGGAATATCATCTAAACTATTGTAACTTATTTCAGGCCCCGGGGTATCGGGATATCATCTTAACTATTGTAACTTATTTCAGGCCCCGGGGTATTGGAATATCATATTAACTTTTATAACTTATTTCAGGCCCCGGGGTATGGGGATATCAGAGTGACAGTAGAGAAGATGCCTGATAGTGTTCCATTGGAGAAAACATTTGATGTAACTCTTAGAATAACAAACTGCTGGTAATTTATGTTCTAATTAAAGCACATGCCTCCAGGTTCATGCTTATTTGAATGAAAATTTTGAAAATGTGTTTAAAAGCAAAGTATTGTGAAGTGAACAAAGGAATTAATCTACACATTGAAAATGGCACTTAAAATCCATGTAAATTACAAAAAAAAAAAAAACATGTCAAAATATGCAAAAATACCTCTGTGTTAGTAATGCAGTAGAAGAGTAGAAATATGGAGATACACACTACAAAGTTGCAAATTATAATACCTTCATAATTTATATATTTTTCATTATTTTGCATTGAAATACATTGACAAATATACAGGTTTGTGGAGCATCCATTGCCTTATAGCCATATGTCTTGTCTTACATAATCTTTGTACATTAAAATGAACAGTTATTGTTAGCACTGTCTCCAGGTACAATTATTAAGCATAGAAAAAACAACGTAAGATTGCAATTTCCTAATAATTTTGTATGTTTTCCTTCATATATACACAATCATATAAAACTTGAAACTGCAAATTTCAGTGAAAGAGATATGGAACTAACAATGGTGTTACAGAATGACTTGAACTCGGGTCTCATGTGGTGTGGCCTCTCTGGCCAGAAACTTGGCACCCTGCCACAGAATGAACACATGGATCTGTCTCTAAACCTTCTCACCACGGTCCCTGGATTACAGGTAACTACATTATGGGTTATACAGGGTGGTTTTCAAACTTCATTTCATGGTGCAGGATATA